ATATATATATATATATAACGATCATGAAAACATATCGTTTATCCAGCATTGCCATTTTGGAGCTGTTGGGGGAACTCCGAATGGATTTGGAGCCAGCCACAAGGAGGACCCACGCAATACCAGATATCACAAAACTCCTTGCAACGTTGCACTTTTTTGCATCTGGGTCATTCCAGCGTACGGTTGCAGCGAGAGCTGGGATCTCCCAATCCCGTTTTTCAGAAGTGCTGTCCGACGTTCTAAATGTCATGTCGCCCTGACGCCCTACCGGAGAGAACCCCGACCTCCCCCCTGCGCCTGTGGAGCAACATGCCAATGCTGCGGGGATGCGTACGCGCAGTAATGTCATTCACAGTCACTTCTTGTGAGCCATTTGCTATGTGCATTTTTTTACAGGCCAATACAAAACACCTGTTTTCTTTTTTTTGGAGGGGGTGGGGGTGTCACTGTAAGATTTAAATTTCTTAATGCACTAGTACAAACTACTTTGCCGCAAACCGCAAAACGCGCAAAACCATCATTTAAATAGGGCGTCTCCAACAGTTTTGCACCTGCCACCAGTTACGCAATCGCTCTTGTTAAATCACCCGCAAACCATGGTTCAGCCCCTCGCGCAAAATTCCAGTTTGCGAGCGCAAATTACTGCTCGCAAAATTGGATCTTGATAAATCCGGCCCTTAGTCTGGAGATTAAAGGTATAGTGGAGGATTTTTACAAATCTTTTGAAAGACCCCCCCCCCACTTAAAAAAAGAAAATGCACACGCACAACCCTGTACTCGCTCCCGAGAGGGAACGCCTATTAAATACGTGCGAGAGCGTGCAGGAGCCCATTTCTCCTCGTGCATGCTCCGTTTAAAAGTTGCTGTTCTCATACAAGCTTACTGTGTCCGAAATGCTGGTGATGATTATCAGTCATCCAGTTCATAGTCATTCCAAAAAAGTAAAAAAAAAAAACAATCCACTGGACTTTCTTTCCAAGTTTGAAGACGTTTTGCTTCCCATCCAGGAAGGTTTTACTAAATTCAAAATGTCAGAAATAGCGTTGAGTTGGAGGCTTTATAAAGTAGCCCAACAGAGTCTTCTTTTGTTAGCCTGCAATGCCCCATACCTGTCTGTCTCTGAAAGGGGGGTCGTTAAAGGGAATCGTTAGCCTGGTTGAATAGGTGAGGTCTTCTTTTTCCCTATAAAGGGGTTGGGGCTGCCATGATAGCGGGAAGGGATCAACTCAATTGCTGTATTGCAGGTTTTTGAAAGCTGAAATCTGAGTCCACCCCCTCTGTTTAATGTTTTTTCTTTCTTAAAATAAATGGCTTCCCTTACACCCCTTCTTAAGAGGAAAATAGGTGGTTTGAGAGGGGCGTGAAGGAAGCCATCTATGTTAAGAAAAGCTATCTGAAAGTAAGGCAGTAAAGATTGTAAATGTAACATGGCGAAACATGAACCAGGAATTTTTGCAAGACTTTGTTAGTATGTCTGGAGTGTTTCTTCTTATTGCCTTATTCTACCATCCCTGGTATGTTGGTTAGAAAGAAAGCCAAGCTACTGGCAGGAGCACCCTAACCTCTCTCCGTCTTTAGATGATGATAAAACATGATGTTTGTGTCATCTGTCTCTTCCAGGCTATCCTCCTCTGCAGCCTACGCCTTTCAAGCCTCAGCCAACGAGCCAAGGAGGTACTGTAGCTGTTACATTGCAAGTTTTTATTTTACATTAGAGCAAGCAAAAGGAAAAAAAAAGAAAAATGTAAAAAGCTGTGAATAATTTGTAGCCTGGAAGTGCGAGGGAGTGCGGATTGAGAGATGTGTTTCTCTCAAGAAGGTGTGGGCAGATTTTGAAGGATTTAAAGTTATCTGAAGGCATTTGGTCCAGTTTTAACTTGTTCAGATAGATGGCTAGAAAAAAAGAGATAATTCTCAGCTTACTGTGCAACTCAGATTAATTTTCATTTATAAGAAGGAACAGATTTAAATGAAACAGTCCTGCAAAAAGATCCTTTTAAGGTTTAAGATCCTAACATTTTGTTACTAATCCTTTACCTTGTAGCTACGGTAACAGAAAGAGCGCCTTCAAACCCAATGAATAAACATGCAGCAGAATCGCCACGTAAGAGCTTTCCTCACACTACTTTTCCAGCTCTCAAAAATGTGCACATTTCTTGAGAAATCTATATTTTTGCAATATACTGGGACTTATTAAGAAACACTAAGTTTTGCTCTTTTGGATCTAGTTCCAGTGGACAGCAACATCTCTGTAGACCAGTTCTCCTTCTCTGCTGGCCTCACACAGTGCTCAACCTGCAACGGAAGTTTGGCAGTCATCCGTTTCAACAAGATACTAGTCAACGACGGAGGACACTATAATCCTCGGACAGGTACATTCCTATGTTCCCTTTCTCTACAAAATTCTTCCCTGCTTATATAGTGATAGTTGATTATATTCAAATACTTTATAAAAGTTGATCTAAGATACTTTTAAGATGGAAAGCAGTTCCTTTTTTATAACTAATGTGCACTGTTAACTCTCATCCAGATGCAGTCAAGCTAATGCTTTAAAGGGGTTTAGCTTATTTAAACTCTTGGTGTCACCCAGAATTATAAATTATGACTGGAAGAATTGGTTAAGCAGGTTTTGTTGTGAAAAAAAAAAGACTCCCGACACAGTTGTGTTTTATTTTGCATGAGTTGTTTTATAATACATCTCTGTGTCTTGTTGGATCTCCCCACAGGAGGAATTATACATCTTTTTATTGTGTTATTCACCTTACATACATCTATATATGTATATTGTCAATTTTGTATAGGAACCTTTTTTTTTTATTGGTTTATTTCTTGACAATATTAAAGTGCCTATTCCTTTCCACTCCTAAGCTTAGTCTTATTATAAATCCCTTTATTGTCCCACAATGGGGAACTGCACTCTTTGCATATAACCCATCCCCTTGGGAAGCAATGGCCTATTAATAGCACAAAGTAGACTAAAACATCTAAACAAGCATCCAATCAGGAACCAATTGAAAGATAAACTGTAATGGATTAAAAAAGTGTATGAATATTAAATAATATGCATCTTATTTGTTGTATAGCAGTGAAGTTTTCTAACCATGTAAAGGCCCAAAAATGGACTTCTTCATGTACTTATTTTAAACCAAACAGAACAAAAGCATTCAATATATCACGCAATATATAACCAACATTTGAAGTTTAACTTAAATCTGCTTTGACTGACCACATGCTGTACAAAAACAGCATTGATATAGACTTGATGTCAAAGAGAGACACTAACAGAGAAGCAATAAAACTTTTTAATGAATCGTGACATAGACACAGAGCTGGTGCATGGGGAGCCAAACGGATATGAAATGATGGGGCTTTTTTTTCTTAAGATGTACAAATAAGCATTTTGGCAGAATTCAGGTCTGTGATGCTGTTAAGCTTTGACTGTCAGACTGAAGATTTTGTCGTCTCATATTTGTCTTTTAGAAATGTATTAAAACATCATTGCATTTTCATCATCAAGTCATTTAACAATGTTTAAAGCCATCCTTTTTAATGTTTATAAGGTGAGGGCAGTTGTCGAGGGGGAAAAAAAACAGGAAAACAGGCCATTTTGGTAATCCTAGCTAAACTAAAGAATGAAAAATCTAGCCTGATCTAAAGTTAAAAAGAAAAGAAACAAAGTTTTTTTTTTTTTTTTTTTACAACATTGCTGTGGATGCATAAAACACAGCAGACTTCTGAGCATTCAGCCGGCTTAACAGCATGACACTAATACTACATTTTTCCTCATCCACAGGAATATTCACTGTACCGCACAAAGGCCGATACTTGATTTCAGGTCTGCTGACTGCAAAAGAAGGGGAGAGCATAGAAGCAGTGCTGTCCGTTTCTAACCGCAGTGTTCACAAGCTGCAGAGCTCAACCACAGCCTCAGGCAGCACCAACTGCGCCTGTGGGGGAACTGTGTCCTTCAGTCTGATTCTACCACTGAGGAAAGGAGACAGAGTCAGTCTGGTGAGAACCGGAGGCCAGCTGGCCACATCCGACACCGGAGTGGTCCTTTCCACCTACAATGCCATCTATTTGTACTCACCGGCAGCCGAAAGATAGTCAGAACGCAGCTGAGCGATACCAGCAAGGACCTCATTGTTATCATATGCCTGGACTAGACAAAATGAAAGAGAAACCATATTATACACTGACCTACTGGGATGCTGGTATGTGATGTTGTTATTGTGTGAATACTCCCAGTTATATGTTCATTTAAGCTGTTACATTGCAAGCCACTAATAGAAAGACACCTGAGCACAAGAGGCTGGGTTTGTATCTAATATATTGATTGTGAAAATAACTTTTTTGTCTATTGTAAATATCTTTTTGCCAATAAAGACCTGATTAAAACTCATCTTTAGACTATGGACATCAGGTACAGTGGCACTGTATGATATAGGCCATAAGGACAGTTTCCCAGGGTCACATTAAAATGAGAGTTACACCCTGAGCCATCCCCAGGATATCCAATAATTTATTGCATTTTAATTGCAGTGAGAGAGAAAAAAGGAAGAGCTCATTCATAGAACTACCACTGGTCAGCCACAACTGGAAAACACAATGCCTTGCTAGAGTCTCATACTCATTAAATTTTTCAACTTTGTGTTTATAAGAAAGCTGAATGTACTGTTGAGTTTTTTTTTTTTTTTTTATCATGACAGGCTGAAATCAACATGTAGCTAATTGTGAACTGGAAGGAAACATGATACACAGATTTCAATGTTTTGTAATTAAAGCTTTGAAAATTGGCAAGCATTTTTTTTATATATATATATATATAAAAGCATATTTAATGTACTACCCCAATATGTTTGTGGAAACAGGTGCACCTAAAATAATGTTAAGGTGTTTGAATGTCTGATGACCAACTAACATGTTGGTAGATCAGAGAGGAAGCTATGATGAGCACGGCTTAGTTCCTCGTCCTAAATGCAAGGAGTTTATCTGTGGAGCGACTGAATTATGGCTCCAAAGATCTGAACTCAAAAGCAAAACAAATAAAAGAATGCAGATACAGCACTCAGCCCAAATGGGAGGATTTGTTGACTATTAACAGTAGATCCTACTAATCTGGTTTTTATGGATGGGGCATGAAGAAATCCAGAAGAATTCCTCTTTAAATCATTACAGCAGTCAAGGAAGAATGTGCTCTGCTAAGATGAAACCAAAAAAACTTTTTTGTTCCACAAAAATGTATTTGTGGGAGATTACAAAAGATTGCACATTACCCAGAATACTCCATTCCCACTGTGAAATGTAATGGTAACAGTTTTCTATCGGGTTGCTTCTCTTCTGCAGGACATGGAGGTTGATCTGAGAGCCTGATATTTAGGAAACCCATCATTGTAGGAAGGATACAAGGGGATTCTATAGTGCTAACCCTGAGGTTCCTGACAACAATTGTAGATTTGATCTAAAAATGTTTAATTAATCCATATTTAACTTCTACTTCGTTCTCAAAATAGGAGAGTGCTGGCCTAGTGGGCTAGAGCAGTGCGCTTGTGCTCTGAGGAGGTCGCAACTACCCGGTGTGATCCCCACAGCCTCCACTATGGTTCTGGTAAGACCCTTAACCCCTGATTGCTCCCCAGGCGCCACACAATGGCAGCCCACTGCTCCCCAAGGGGATGGGTCAAAATGCAGAGAACGGATTTCCCCACTGTGGGACAATAAAGGGATTTACAATATGACTAAGCTTAGGAGTGGAAAGGAACTGGCACTGTAATATTGTCAAGAACCAATAAAAAATGTTTCTTTACAAAATTCCAAGGAAGGAACTGCAGATTAATAATGAAAGATTGCAACATAAGATTTTTTCTGAACGATGTCATAAACCTCGCTGGTCTCAGACGTTGCAGTAAAAAAAGACTGTTAGGAGGGGAAAAAACAAACTCTCTCTGGGATTATTACATAAATGGGGTGTGGATAAAAGTTTCTCCTTATCCCTCAGATCTAGAAAATTTTCCAAAGAACTTAGACATTAGATCAGTTTCAGTTAAACACTAAAAGACAAGCGCTGATTTTCATTCACAACTGCTTTGCTTACTGTTACTATTCATCTTTGATCTTTGTGATATTCAGTAAAACCCACTGAATATGAAACACCTAAGGGGGTTGAGCTAAATTCATTCTACGCATTTCTTCATTGAAATCAAATATCAGACTCAAAGTCAGCTTGTGATTGCTTTGAACTATATCAGCTTAAAATGAGAAGCAATTCAGAGGCAAATGGATTTGTTAGATATTTATTCCAAATGGGACAAGCCACATATTGCTAGTCTCGTTAAGCCTGTATTCATCTTCTTACCACAGATTTGTTTCTTCATACATACTTTTAACCACATTTCTATATAAATCAAACAGCATAACATAATTTATATTAATCAGAAACAATCAAATATCAAGCATTACATCCAAAAAAAACACAAATGATATACTTTTGTAAGAAATACCATGAAGAACAAGGCAACGAGACACAAAGATGTGATTATCAGCATATATACCGGATCCTTTTTCACAGCAGTAAGAACAAACAATTTATACTTTATATCCTGGAATCAGAGGATGAAGTGTGATTCTTTCACACAATATGTTTTACTTTCATAGAAAGAATGAAATTGTTTTTGTTAATTCTAAGATAAACATATCTAACTTTGAACTTTGTAGAGAAGAAGCTGAGGAATAAAAAAAACACTCACTGTTAACCACAAAACATCAGAGCAATATTAAAGAACTAAGAGAAACCAGATGTAGCCATCACTCTCTTAAGTTGTGCTTTTTTTTCATTCCCGATAACTGGTTCTGTTTGTTCAGTTTCCTTATGAGCATTTAAAGTTTTACTCTGGAGAAAGATGTCATCCTGGTCATTAAATCATGATCTTCTAAATTACACATAATGCCAAAGAAGGGCTTCTAAAAGCTTCCTGGACAGTCAAGTATTTCCTGTTTATGTCCAAACTAGAAAGGATTTCTCGTCCTCTGTTAATGACAGGAACAAAAACAGTTAATCTCGTCGGTCATACAGATGCATAAATACGCACACAAACAACTACAAGGTGGTGGGGATGTTACCCCCCCAAATATTTTTGTAAGATTTAGTTTTTTACTCTTACTTCCAACCTGCAAAACACAAAGCAGCCACTATTAAACACTTCTTTAGATCATTCTATTCCAGATAAAAATCACAGATGCTGAAGATAAAACTTTACTTATTATGTGTCATAATGGCGTAGACTACTTCCTATTTAGATTGTGAGTGAAGTGCATGTTGGTTAGAGGCAAGTAAAAGTCTACAGCTTAGACAAAGTGCAATGAACAAGTCTGAGTAAAACCACTGAGGGAGGAAAAAAAGAAGGGGTACAGCCACCCCCAACAGCAGCACTCAGTGATTTGTGTGTGCACATACATACACACTCATACCAAACACCATCCTAGAATCTCTCAGGGAAGGGTTTTCAAAAGGAAATCCTTAAACTTTAGCTGCTTTAAGATCGGACAATCTTCGCTGATGAAACATGAGTGTCAGCTCTAATGTTGACATATTCTGAGGTTTTCTGGGAATCTATACGCACCTTACATATTGATAGCTTCACCATAAAACAAACTAAACAGCCTGCTGTGGGAGAGGCGACTGAAGAGAAATAGACAAAGCCGAGAGGCTCTGCTTAAGCGCATAACAATCTGTGGCCAACCACACAAAATACCTTTTTAAGTATTTATTACATTGAATATAAATTGTTTTTTGTTTTTTCCTGACAAGCAACAGAGTTACAACAGAAATCAATAAAATAATATATTAATCTTAAATAATGACTATGTTGACAACCGAACACATCTGATTTGCAAAGAACAAACATCTTTGCTGGACAATATACCATTAAGCTGCTTCATTAAATCCCAGCTAAGTGTGGATCCATACATTCTTGGCATATTCAGAGTTTTTATGTGATTAAAAAATACCAAACATAACTCAACATGTGCTTAGTTCATGACCTTTACAAGCCAATAAAATGTGCTATGCAAGTAAAGAGTGACAAGAAAAAACTAAACCTCAAGCAGCTTTGCTACAGTAAGCTCCTGCAAAATAAGTGAGAGCATCTCACGTTTGGTGCAATCTGATATCTGCTAGCTAACTTTCCTTATTCAACAGAGGTCTCACTACTCTGGCTTGGTGCCAAACTCTTCCCTCAAGTTATAGTTAACAGGAAATGTGTCAAATGAAAAGGAAAGTAAATCAGGTGAATTTTGTGTCACCAAAATTATTTTCTTTGATAAAATTATTGAATTTAATCTCCTATCTCTGCACAGTGAGCTCAACTACAGACTGGTCCTGGAGTAGAGCTACTTGGCATTAGTAGGTGACTAGTCTGTGAAGCTTTAGCTGATGTTAAAATAAATACATTTTTTCAAGTTATGTCTTACTTTACTCTTAAACCTGTCCCTCTGGTAAAGTAATTATCGAGCTGTGTGTGTGTCTAAGTGCTATTCTATCCAGTCCACATGTGTTAAAGAGCTGCGCACAGTCCTGACCCAGGTAGATGGATGGCTGGGTGAGCATCTGTGCAGCATTAGAGCAGTTCATCAGGGTTGATTTCTGGCAGTGGCTGTCTCCAATAACAGAAGGAGCTGAATTCGGGCATCAAAAAGGCTTCGGCCTGCTCTTTACTCAGCAGAGGGAACACGTGCTCTACCAGCTCGCTAAGTCTGCCATAGCTGTAGAGACAAAGATTGGATAAATGGGATCAATAATAATGGAATTGGATGTATAGCTTTTTCTATATAGGACAAAGTTAAAGTAGATTTCATAACATGGTGCAGAAAATGTTTACAAAATAGGTGTTAACAGAAAACCTATTAGATGGCTGAAGAACAATAGGAAAAAAAAATAAATGGAGCTATCTAAGCATTAAAAAGCAGGTTTAAAGCTTTGATGTTTAATGCAAAGCAGTGAAGAAACATCTCTCTGATGTGGAGTAACAGTGAGATCATACAATTTTAAGCATCCACTTACGATGACTTGTTTCCCTTTGTCTGCTCCTGGATCAGCTCCCCTTTGGGGTTAACGGTGAAAATCCTGCACAGTGGGACTCCAACCTCTTTATAGGCAAACGCATCCTAAATGGAGACCATGATGAGAGGCTTACTGCACAAGCTAAACATTAGATAGAGCCTAAACAGATCTAAATGGAATATGAAGTCTTTTCAGTATGTGTGTTCTGTAGTGTGAAATAAACCTCAGGCATTCTTTCACTCTTAAAAAAAAAATTAATAAATCTTAAAGTGTATTCTAAGTTCTTTAGTTTTTCCTAAGTCTCTAAAAAGCAACTCAGAAATGTTGAAAACAGCCTCACATAAACAATGCAAACTGAAATGACTTCAATAATAAAACTAAGCACAAATCTCTTTTTTTCTGAAGCATTCTTTCGAAATATTTCAGAAGTACCAGTTTTTGTGTTTTTATTGTATTTTGTTTTCTCTGCTGAGCAACATGGAGAGTTTCTATGGTTGCTTCATGGGGTGTAGGTGTTTATGCAGCTGAAGACAGAATAGGATGATGCGCTGCTCTGCCAATGCTTCCCTCCCTTCCACAGATGAGGTCACAAAGGCTCATTCGTAGAAGGAGACCTCAGCTCGGGTTCAGCCCAGTACTGATTTCACTTGTTTGTGTCTCCTAACTGATAGCCAAAGAGTCATGTTGACATTGCAATACACCCTTCAGTGCATTGGCTTGCAATAAATAAAACAGTTCATGTAGGAAAACACGCACTTTAAAGTATGGGAGTGTGAGATTTTCAAACAGGCATTAACTCACATTAGCTCGATTCCCAAAGGCGGCGTAGAAAGGCTGCTTGTTATTCTGGAACAGGTTTTTGATGTCCGTAAGGCATTCAATCTTGAAGATCTCTGGTTTTTTCTCAATGACCTCTCTGAAATAAACACTTTCATGAGTCCTCACTATAAATTTGATCAATATATCTCTAGGATATATATATATATATATTATTTTTTTTTGCCTACCTTCTGGTCTATCAAAATACATACAATTTCCTTTTTTTGTTGGTAGAAAAAAAAAGCAAAGCCCAATTCAAAGATCAAATCTCAACCTGGTTGAGAAATAATTTACTCAGATGGCAAAGTTACTCTACATTAACCTATTAAGGGCAAAGAAATCGTGGCACACCTTAAAAAGCCACAATTGCAAATCAATGTGACAAATTAAAAAATAAAATAAAGTTTCCATGGTAACTACATTGTATAGGTTTCAAGGTTGTAAAAATATATTTCCACTGCTTTGCCACATGATGATTCAATATAAAGTGAAACAGGGTTACATTGGATTATAAACAGATCTACTGCAGCTGAAGCCCTTTCTGTAATATTTCTGATCATATCTGTTAATAAACTATAAACGTTGGATTTTAAATCAAAAACAGGTTATTAGGAGGACATGATGTCCAAAAGCTGACAAGCCTTAAAGTGGTGGGTGATGTTTTTGGCCGTTATAGAAGAAACCTGCTAAACAGTTAATCACCAGGTGGAGTCCTAAAACATTGAGTCGAATGAGGGTAAAGGGACAACTTTAGCAGACTCTATAAACCTCCTACAAGATGCTTCCCAGCTCATTTTTCTTTTCTACACTTGTCATATATATATACAAGTAAAATATCCAGTTTTAGCCGGTTCTGGACGTTAATCCTCGTCAAGTGATGTGCATGATGTATATATTCACCCAAGAAATGATTTAAACTTAAATGGAGAAATATAAGACCTAGTTTTCTAACAGATAATGTTACATTAAGTAAGGAGAAGTGAAAATATCCAACAACTATGAAGAGGAGATGGATGGGGATTGGTGCACTTTACTGTACCTGTGGAAGGCAGAGAATAGGCTACTGGGAGACAGCATTAGAGGCCCCCGTGGTAGGATGGTGCCTCCGTCATTGACCCACTGCAGGTAGCCTCTCGTCATGTCCGCCATGCCAATAGCCCGAGCTGAGCAGTACAAGAATTTATAGCCATTCCTGCAAATGAGAGAGGAGCACTCATAAAAAGGCTAAAAACCATTAACATTATGGCCAACAACTTCCAGATAGATTGCATTGACAGTAACTGTCCTAGTCATCAGTTTCTCCCGTGTGGCTATAATTTATTTATCTCTATAGGACTACAGCAAATATAGGACTACAAATTTAATCACCTCTTAGAAAATCAGTTAATGTTTCTTTTAGCAAGAATTAAGTCGTGGTTATAACTGAGCACAATTAGTCATCCACTTCACAGCATCCCACACAAACACTGAGAGGAAATATCAACTGCACAGAAAGCAACTGGGAATCAAAGATGGGCACTCCTAACCACTGACCAAACATTCACTCTGTCCCTGTAATTAATCCTTGTTATTGTGCACTTACTCGGCCACAGAGTGGTACAGCTTGGCAATGCCCTGATGGGTCCAGTCTTTCCCCAACTGTGGGAGAATCTGTCCAAACACATCTGATCTAAAATAAACAAACACATTATGGTGGGAATTAAAAGAGGCATGTCATTCAAATAAAAAAACTTAACAGATGTCCAGTCACCAATTAAACATGCATACAGGAAAATATAGCAGATTTTTTTCTCTATAGATTGTTAGGAATAGGTTACATAAGCCAACCCTGGTACATTAAAATTTGATCAGAAATCTAGAACATTATGGGATTTTCTCTGCTAATGAGAATTACTGGCCCCATAGGGAAGACACTGTGTCACCCTCAGCTTATGGCTGTGTGCGCTGACAGAAAAAGATGTAAATGGGCTCATTATAGTTCCTGTACTTTTCAACCTGTTCTTAAAAGAGCGCCACGTCACATGCTGGCCCCAGGGTTTGCAGAGATAATAAGCTCCAGTAGATCTGGACTTTTTTGATTTCAAATGTCACTGAACAGCCATTAAAAAAAAAAAACTACAGATATCAGTTTTTTGAGTAACTATCTGTGAGATAATTTACTCACAAAGAACTGCATAATGCTCTGGATATTTCTATTAGAAAGACAACTTTGAAAGTATAGTCGGTCTGGGAAAACAAATATATTAAAAATTGATTTATCAGCAGAACTCTGTGTTTATAATGGAATTAGTATTTTGGTTATTATATACTGTAATCCTGAAACAGGATCCAGATCTCTAAAACTGAAAAGGTCCAAAGGTCCAGGTCATTTTTCTAAAAGCTTTATCAGAAAATTTCTACAATATGAGCAGCTGATCATATATGTAAATGCTGCAGTAAACCTTAAAAAGTATATACAGATACAGTATCTCACAAAATGATTCCACCCCTCATATTAATTAAAATATATATTTGTTATGTCCCTAGCAAGAATCTCAGCACACAGCCATTAACCTATAAACCCCTGGAATTAAAAGGGAGCACACCCTGAAGGAAAAGGTGCAAATTGTGACAAAGACTCACTTATTTATAGGCTCATCTTTGTCTCATCAGAGCACAGGACTTTGTTCCAGTAATCCCTGCCCCTATGCTGGGTTTACATTGACTGTGGTGCAGCTGCTGTACAGTTGTAGTGCTGGTAATCTGTAGAAAGTCCCTCACACTGAACACTACAACTAAGCTGTCCTTGCTGGGAAAAAACGTTCACATGGGATCACGCTACTTCTGCAATTGTCAGGCAAAAATCGTTATCAGTGCTCATAAATATCCAATTTTATTAAATAATAACCCCGTTTTGTTGTCTTATTTTCACAAGTCAAGTTAACGCATGTTGCTGGGTTGATTTTATTCTGAAATTAATGGCATTTGGAAGATTGATGCAGAGACCGTGTTGTTTCCAGCCTAACTTCCTTCTTGCAGAAAGAGTTGATCTGCATGGCCTTGGTTACTGCACCCACACTGCATCGCGGCTGATTCAAGTATACCCATCGATTTTAATGATTCGGGTTTCAGTGTGAGCCTGGTGTTAGTCCGCTTCTCAAACTACAGCAATGCAGACCAGGGTTTCTCAGTTCTGGTCGAGGGTCTGGTGTTCTGCATCTTTTAGATGCGTCTCTGCTTGCCCACCTGAATCAAATGATTGAATTGCCTCCTCAGTTGATGTCAGGTTTTCCAGAGTCCTGCTAATGACCTTATTATACCTCAGGTGTGCTGAAACAGAGACACAACTAAAAGGTGCGGAACACTAGACCTCGAGGATCAGATATGAGGAACCTTGATGTAGACCAATGTAATATGTATGGCCTTAGCAATAACAGCTTGGCCCCCATCATTTCAACCTCTGCAGCACTCATTCATGTCTACTTTCAAACAAAACTTCTGAATATGACACTGATCGGGTCTACATAACTTCTTTGGTGGTAGATAGTGAGGCTATTTCTTAGTAAACCTGTCATTATTATTAACTTGGGGAGTGTTAACCTAGTGGTTAGAGCAGTGCGTTTGTGCTCTGAGAAGGTTGCGATTTTTATTATTAGTATTTACTGTATGGTGCTGCTTTGGCTCAGGGTGTTGATCTTCCTTTACGTAAAGCAACAGTTCTTTCATACAGGTCCTCTGAGTCCTCTACTCTCTTATACTGGTCACTGGATGTACCATTGCTGAACTTCCAGTGACCGGCGTGAAAGAATATGAAAGAAAACACAAAAAAAACACAACACCGATAATCAAACAGCCCTACATTCCCCCCATTCACACCTGAGGCGTTGTAACACCAACAAGCTGTATGACACTAGGGAGGAGAATAGCTCATCTCTCTGCTGCTCTCGTTTGCTGCCAGCTGTGTAGACATTAACGGCTATGTACCAAGGTATTTGAGGGACAGAAAATGAACACTAACTAAATGACAAGAATGTCATACTTTCAGTGTTTTTTGCCCAAGAACAGATTCAACAATATATTAATAGTTAGGGGATGTATTCCCTTTGGTGAGATACTGGATTCATTTATAGCTTCAGTGTCTGTTTTACAGTTTAACATGATAATCTAAACTGACAAGAATAAATAACACCAACAGTTGAAAATGATATCAGTCAGTGTTGCTCTACAGATGGTGCCCTGCTAAAAGAAGAGCTGTTTCCACTTCGGCATAATGAATGTTTACAGAACAAGATCCAACACTGACAATCTGGTCCTTTACTCATTTTAAAATAGAACTCCATTTTGAAGGAAAAGTCAAAGAGGCTCCAGTGAGACAGGGGCATAAATAGTAGTTTCTAAAAATATGCGCTGCGGTGGATGTGGATGAATTCATACAAAAAGACAATTTAAAGAAGGGACACAATATGTGCTGCACTGTGGACAATCAGTAAACAGAAAAATGCATGACTGACCCTTCTTTCAAAGTTTTAAACTTTACAGTTATGTTATTTAAAAAACTATATATATATATAAATATAAATAAATATATTTTTAGAAACCACCTACTTGGTGATGGTACCATCAATGTCAGAGATGATGACTTTGTCATCCCAGTTCCACAGGTAGATGGTCCCTTCACAGCGGCAGGTCCCCTGGTACTGGGTGGTAATGCTAAATGTCACATCATTTGGCCCCTCCTTTAGTTTAAGACTAGCCTGGGAAAATAGGCAGGATATGAAATGTAAGACCATCTGGAGAAAGAATTTTTTTTTTTTCTCCCATTCACAAGAAACTCAAACATAAGCATTCCTCTCCTGCAAAGATCTGTACAGGTCTTTAGAGCCCCCTACTGGCCTCAAGTGTAGCAAAGCAAACAAAAAATTAAGGCAATATATCCAGCCTGCAGAGGGCGCTCTGAAACATTTTATTCTTAGATAATGCAACAGTTAGGTTTACACTGGATTAATTTAATTAAAAAACTGTGTAAATGATTAACTGCAATAAAATAAGAAAGACCTATTTTAAAGTAAAAAATAATGGATGCTATTGAAGTAAACACTATATAAGAAAGTTATATGCAATAATATACTCACTATCTGATCTGAGGAAAGACGCAGTGACTTCCTGTAAGTGTGTGTAGTGGAATGGTGTCCTTCTCCTGGCTGCAGCCTCTCTTGGCAAGACACAGCGCTGACCTCCTTAGATTCTTCATCACTGGATGTTTCTCCTGCTTTGGGGCTACAAGGCAAAGTAGTTATGTTGAGATTCTTCACCACATTAAATAAAAGTTAAAAACACTTAAAATATAAAAACAGTTGAAGTTGAATAGTGTCAAGAATACAGTAGGGTATCCTTTTAATTGGAACGATTCTGGTTCTCGATAAAACAGTCTTAACTTCTTTGTGAATTTTAATTCCTTGAGGTTTTAAAGATTAATATAAGACTTCAAATGGTTATTTTCAACTCGGATATAAATATAAACCGATTACAATACCAACTAATACAAATCTTTTAAATTTTCTATTCACAGGGATACACTTTCGCATGAAAGTTTCTTTTTGAAAACCTCATTTAAACACATTCAGATTTACAGTGTCTGATGCTGCAGTTTAAGACAATTTTATTTTTTATTTATATCATTCCGACTGGGGCTCTAGGCTGAGTGTTGGAGCTGAAGACTAAAGCCATGGATTGTACTTAGAAAGGTACACATGTTCAGCTCAAGTAAACATTTAAATAGAGATGTTTCAATCTGGTTGAGTGAAGAACGATCAGATTTTAATACTCAGTCATTCAATTAAAGAGTTTCATTATTTGAAACAGATCCGAAATTAAATTAAGTTTACACTAAATAAGATCTGAAGTCTTGCCAATTCAGATTAAAGGTATCTTCATCCCATCAAAAACATGTAGGCTTAAAAGCGCAAAAAAGGCTCTGCTCTCCCTGCAAAAGCTGGCCAATGATTGCACTGGGGAAAAAAATCCCTCCAGGAACCTACCTTAGCACAAAAACCAGCGCAGCAGGTCAAAAACGAGGCTCCCATAGGATTACCAGGTCTAAAAGAAAATTAAATGTGGGATAGCTAGGATGCCTATGTGGGACAGATCTGGTTTTCCTGTATGTAGTTCTTTAGAAACAATTTTACAGTTACTTCACATCACACTCCCCTTGTATCAGCTTGAAAAATAAACTTGATAAAAGCCTCTCTGAGGATTATCTGTCACTGGCCTTACATAGTTAGACACTGTTCAACATTTTTCGTAGGGACAGAATTTATTTTCTTTAAATGTAGTTTCTGTCGTATTTTGTATTCAAATCCTTTAACTGTTCTATTTAAGGAGCATCGTGAGCAGGTTGGTCACGACATGAAGCACTGACTGCAGTTCTGTTGTCTTTGCACTTAGGAAAAGCTTATGTGAACATTTTGTTCAATTTTCTTTTCTAAATTGGTCCAGTAAAATGCAGGACATTGTTTTGACTGGTGGGACAGAAGTGGAGAATGCTAGAATGCACAGATAGAAACGTCTGGTCACAATAGGCTCTCATCCTGAGTCTGATGGTGTTTTATTATTTTGGATATAATCCCATCATAAGTGTTGCACGTTGCCAACTGATCAAGCCTTTATCGTTAAGGCACACTATCGAATGCTGCTTCCCAAACAGATGGTTGCACACACACTCCTCTGGATTCTTTTCTTTGCTGGCAATTTGCAGCTTTTTCTTACGGCCGCTGGACTGGGCATCAAATTAAAAATCAAATATACAAAATTTGAGTGACTCCTGGAGAACTGATTCCAATCGATTCTTTTCTGCCCAACTCTAGTCAAGATCTCAGTTTATCATTTTGAACGTTTTTTTATAGACTGAAGCAGCAGAGCAACAGGGAAACAAAAGTAAGTTAGGCTGGTCAGTGGGGCTCACAATGAGCCAGGAAACCATGAAAAAAATTCTTGAATCACTTTTTTTTAACGCTGTTAAATACTCTCTGAGGTGAGACAGCTGTTTAGCCACCCAACATTTTCACAAACATTCATTTGAAAAAAACCATACAGCAAGTGTTCATCTGCTAATTTTAGGCAAAAGCTCAGATGAATTATACTACATCACATTTAACTACATTTTCCAATGTAGATAATGTGAATACCAGAAGCCATTTTTTACTGACCGGAATTCACATGCGCACATACATATACATTTCTATGTATGTCAGTTTAAATAATCTTTTGGCATAACATTTTAAAACTTTTTTTTTTTTTTTTTGTATCTCTGTTAAATTTTACTCTAGATATCCAGGGTTAATTTTTTATCTCTTGTTACATACACCACTGCTGTATGTATTTTATAAAATTCAGTTCTATATCAGACCACTTTGGCATAATAAAATCTTGAAACTCCTGGTTGCAGCTACATAAATTCAACTATTGATATCACAATTTCTATTATAAAGAGCACACCTCTAAAACTGCAACTCAAGTCCCATTTATTTTGCAGTTTTAGCCAATTAACTTAAAAAAACCGAAATCTTATGGTTCTTTAAGAAGCATTTTTGGCTGCGATAAACTGCTGTGACCGCTGCTGTAAAAAAAAAAACCTTAAGTAAGACATCATTAAAATAATAGAAGCTTGAATTTGTGTATTTTCCATGATGTAGGTGGCCATTTAACATAATTCACATTTCTGAGTGTAAAACTTTGTCATTTTATTAGGTTGCAAAAATCTAACAGCAATTTTTTTAGGGAAAAATGTTTTGTTGTAATTGATTAATCAGAAAATAGATAATAGATCAAATTAACCTTGATGGCAACCCTATTTGAAAAATGTTATTTTATTTGTAAATTTAACTTGTATATTTCTCATATTCAGTTCTCTACTTTAAAGGGATAAACCTGCATTCACAAGCGTTCATATTCCAATTCTAAGCCTAGTTAAGCAATATTCTTCGAATTCCATATTTCAAAAGAACATTGATGTGTAAGACTTACGGTAAATCCAAGTTCTCCTGAGAATTAGAGGGTTCTCCATCTTCTGACTGAAACTCCTCCTTGGTTTCCAGCTTTGTCTCAGACTAAATAAGGAAATTGGGATTTTGTGAACAATTATGTATTATGTAGTTTAAGAAAAAAATATTTCATCCTTTACAAATGAGAGAATTTATATAAATACCTGTTTAACTGTACTATCTGATCTTTTTCGCCAGAACCACCAACGACCCGACTTCTTTGGCATTTTCTCCTTCATCCAGGCCTCCTCTGTAGCCTTTATTTAAAGAAAAATAAAAAAAAGGGAAAATGTTTATTTACTCCCAAGCTCATACTGTCCTTATATTACGCCTTATATTTATTTACAAAAAATAAATGCTCAAATGATAAAATTACCTTTGGTAAATTCTTCTGAAATGCCTGTAGGCTTAAAATCAGGGGTGCAGCTAGTGTCCAGTTATAATATCTAAAAAGAAACAAAAACTTAGTCATATGACGTCACATAAAGCAAGGCTTTCATATTATATAAAATAAAAAAACTTACAAACCTATTTCCTATCTTTACTACCAAGTTGGGGTTGTCTATTATTGCTGGATTTTCAGCAAACTCATGATATGTGATGATATGTTCCATAAATCTTTCTGCAAACACAGTTAAAAACACACAGTGGTAGAGTGAGACATCTGACAATACATTATTTTTACTTACTATAAGTGAAAGAGTTTTAAGGGGGTGTATACGCACTTTGAATAAAATAAAGAGATGTTTTTTTTTTTAATAGAGAAAGAGGACAGTGTTTAAAATGCCTTTTTATTATGCGTAAGCAGCTGGGAAACTGTTCTGCTGACCTTTGGATATTTCTGCATTTTCGGTGAGACCTCCACACAGAGAAAGAGTGACATCAGGGAGGTCACTGGCCGAGTCAGAGAGACATTCCGTCCCGCTGTCAGCAGCTGCACTACCCACAGACTGTGGAGACTGGGAACCTGAGCGAATCTCAGAGTCAATCCACTGCTTTGTTGTTGCCTCGGACTCACTGATGGACAGAACAGTTTCAGAAAAAAGGGCAACCAATAAAGTAAGAATACTGTTGGGTTTTTTTTTTTCATTGGAATGCAATTTGAAAGTGAATATTTCCAATTTACATAAACAGCATATACATATACATCAAAGTATTAAGTGCTTCTTGCATTAGCAAACCTCTTAGGAAAATATCTTGCAGCCACATCGGGTTCCAGTACATTTAGGTCATCTAAGTAGATATCCTCTGGACCCTGATGCTGACTCCTCTTTGGGACTCCTGTGTTTATAAAATAAAAGCACTTGTTATTTTACATTGCTTCAAAATCCCTTAAAGGTTTTTACAATGTATCATATTAAAACCAAAAATAAATTATTAAAAAATATATATATTTTGGGTGCAGGAAAACAAAACTAACCCACTACAAAAAAATCAAAGCAATGAACACAAGCTGTTAGAAAAATATAAGTCATACAGTTTTGCATATACCAAAGTAGGTTGGTGTGAAAATAAAAAGAAATATATCTTATAAAAATAACAAACAAAAAAAATTATAAAATACACATTTTGGTGTACATTACAAACAACCTTGTGAAATATCAATATTCAAATCTTGCTAAACACTCTTAACTGAATATGCTTTAATATAAACACCCCACAGGCATAATAGCTCCAGATCTAGCTCCAGTTACACTTTCCCTACTTAAGAAAAACCTTTCCCATTGACACATGGTGATGGCAGCTTCATCCTATGGGTAAGGTTTTTCTTAAGTATGGAAACCTTACCCACAGGATGATGCTGCCATCACCATGTGTCACTGTGGGGTTGATGTACTTTAGGTTGTGAGTAGAGCCAGTTTTCTTATAAACTGCTTTTGATACATTTTTTGCTCCCCTGTAGTTTACAGCAGCAAAAAGATTATGGACAAAATTGTCACACAAATGTGAGCCTTATAAAAAATCATAACAATAACATAATAGTGAAGAGTTAAATGATAAACAATAAAATGATAAACACTGATCTCACCCCTGCTTTTTGCAGATGATGTGGTTCTACTGGTTTCCTCTTATTTTTATATTTTTATATTTTATGTCCACTTCAGAGTTTTGCACTTTGTTTTAGTCAAATATGAACAAATCTATTAAATAAAATGCAAACCACATTTTGTGAAACCAAATGTACCTTTCTTCTTAGAGGGTGAATCAGTCTGCTGACTGTTTGAAGGGGTGGATGTGGTCACACTGGATGGAAGGACTTCAGGAGGCTCTGTGGGAGTCAAAGGACCCATAGACTGTACGGAGCTTGTAGAAGATAGACTATGATTTGTTACGGGGGTGACAGGGGAACGTGGCTCAGGCTTGACTATGGCACAGACTGATGAGGCTCCATCTTCCTTTCCAGGCTCTGTTTCATCCTCCATGGCCTCAGAGCTCAGGATCACACGAAAGTGGGTGTTTTCCGATGGGGTGATGGTTACTGTCTTTAGTGGTTCAGGCTTTTCCTTCTTTGTGACCTGAATATTAAATGTTGTGTCAGTTCATATGAGACAGAAATAAAAAAAATAAAAATAAAAACGGTAGCAGCACAGTATAACGGAAAAAAGGAGCTTACCCTGGTTGTTTCTGGAAACTCTCCCCAGGTCCACTGCATGTGGGACTCATCCCTGAGCAAACTTTCTGAAGACTTCATCACCAGCTCTGAATCACTCTTTGGGGAAAAGGCCTGAGACAAGCCATGACTAAAAGACCAACAGTGCAACACAAACAATGCGTGTTATATAGGGGAGTTTATGCATCTTTGCTAAACAAAAGGTAGAAACTAAAGTTTAGTTTTATACATACCCATCGCCTAAAGGCCATTCACCATCAGACAACGGATAACCTTCCAAATTATGTCTTGTTGTAGGCAGTTTAGGGTCAATGTCCCTGATTGTCGAGGTTGAAGGAGACCTGCATCCAGAATGCAAAGTAAACATATGATCAAAATTCACCCCCGCAAAAAAAGATTCTACAAATAACTCTTTTGAAACCTAAAACTACCTTGATACATGTGGAGCCGATTCTTCATCAGAGCTGAGGTCCATCTCAAAAATCTCGTCATTTTGCCCAGTGCCTGACACGGCACCACCAATAGCAGCAACAGAATTACCAGAAGAGACCGATACTGGTGGGGTGAGCTCCTCTCTGCGGGGGTCACCTTTGTGCTTCTTTCTTCTTCTTTTCTTCTTTTTTGTGGCAGTGGCACTGGGAGCAGGAGGCTCGGGTGGGTCTTCCTGGTCTAAAGGATCATCCTTTGGGTCTTTAGGTGCCCTGTTCTCAACCTCTGAGATCCAGAATAGGTGACTCTCAGTGGGTATTGGGGAGGTAGCCAGGTGAGCAGGAACAATCTGCTGAAGTGGATATTCATCAACGAAAGGCTACAAGTTTAAGCAAGAGCCAAAACTAGGAGGCAAAATGACATGAATACCATACAGTACAGCATCTGTCACAGCAGAACAAACTTATGCAACCATCAGTCAAATAAGTGACTGAATAACAGTTGGTCTGCCGAAAACAACAGCAGGTGTTTTTTTTTAAGGGGTTGTTGAACTGCTGCATTTATTTTTCCTGATGCATTCTTTAAATCTTAAAGAAAGTTAAATTTGTTCGTCATAAACAGACTAATTTTAAAAACGATTAAGTGTGTATTCGGAATGCTTACATTCTCCTCCTCAGCTTCCTGGACAAAAAAGGCCTCTCCATTGTCACCAAGCTTCATATGCAGATCTACAGGATCTCCATTCACTTCAATGTCAATCTGAAAACATTTAACAGAAAATACAGGCTGACATCTGGAACACAATATAAAAACCAAGAAGCTAAAAGATCAGAATTTTTCAACCTTTTGACTAGTTTCAATCAGGAAATGTTCTAGATATGGGAATAAAGGTTTAAGAAAAACTTGAAGAGTTAAGAGAGGCGCCTTAATTGTCTAGAGAGTCAAGCCACATTACTCTTCCTTTATTTTCCTTTTGTTTTAAAACAAAATTAAACTTGCCTTATAGCAACACATTTCTCCCACAGAAGCAGAATATCTTCTCTGCTCCTTTTAAAAGAATTTAACTACTCAGACAAAAAGGCTAAAAAAAACACTTTAATTACTGTCCCTTTATCATCTTACATAACTGTTCTAAGGGAGAAATTTAAAAAGAAAAACTTGTATCTGAGGTTTAAACTCTAAAAAAAATGTGATCTAAACTGGCCACAAAAGGCTTCGGGACTAAAAGCTCTATTTTTTATTTTTTTTTTGCGATATGTTCAAACTGTTTCCGCTGCCATTTTACATGAGTAGCTGTTAAATCATTTTTGCAGAAGCTGAATGTGCTTGAAAGCTTGGAAAACAGGAGAAAATACAAACCAAAAGGCTTTTGAAATTCTTGAAGGTTGAACAAGAACATTTTTCTGTTTTCTTTTCCAAAAGACTGCCTCCTTAACTTTTCACATGGGGGCAGATTCCTGTTTATCCATCAACCACAACCTCAAGCTTTCCCTCCCAGGACTGTATGGTTAATCGGAAAATTAAGAAGCTGGATATTGAAATAAAATAGGTCACACAGAAATTATTTACCACTAGCTTGTGTCCCACCAGGCTTTAGAATTTTTTACAAACATTCATGTCTTTGGGGCTTTTATATTCTGTGGAGCTGCCATTAAAACAAAGCTTTTAAAGCTCGCTGGGGAAACTACACTGCAATAGAGCCCATTCTGTACTGTAATTTAACACCGCCATAAAATAAGAAAAAAGGTAACATCTGGAAGACACTACAGAGCAGGTTGGTTCAGACACACAAATGCTCTGTAACATGACACCAGATTGTCAGGTTGGTTTAAAAACAGCCGCCAGACTATTCTGTTAGTCCTTCTGGTTATTAGACTCCTGCTGGTGTTTTTCCATGTTTGGTCATTACTCTTTCCACAAATTTAGATTCTCTACAGCATAAAGAAGACATTTCACCTGGTCAGTGAAACTAAAGCAACTAATGCGAGGGTGGTTTTGAATCTCAAGGCCTAACTATTAATGAGACAGAATAAATTATTGTTCTACTAATCCTCAGAGTCAGAGCAGGTTTGTATTCACTTCCAGTGATTATATTTTCTTGAAAAAAATAAGTTTTTCATTGTCAATAATTTTTCACCGATCTACTTTAAAGAAAAGGATATGAGTACCTGCAGATGCTAATAAGGGCATTAATTCTGTGCACACACACTTGTTTAATTTAATCTACATGAATATTGCAAAACACAAAATAAAAGATATAAGCTGCATTGTAAAACTATATAAAATTTTTCCTTTGCTTTTCTGACAAGAGGTAAAAATCTGGGTTTTCCCAAATAGTGACTCGTAAAATAATGCTCAGAAAATTTACATCTTATAAACAATAAATTTAATGAAATAAACCCCAAAATACAATAAATATACATAGCAGCAGCCTGGCTTATTCAAAAACTGCTCCTGGGAACAGGTATGCATGTTCGTTACACAACAGCCCTTTTAGAGCTCTTGTGGACCTTTTCTTCCTTCCCCCATGCATTCAAAGTTGTAGAGCAGTTGCCATGGAAACAGTTCATTCATTCCTTTTCAGGTCCATCAGCATTCAACCTAGGTGGGTAGACCGAGTCAGATCTAAACTAATTATTCCTGTATAGTGTATAGCAAGCTAAAAGAATTTTGCAGTAAGCCAAAGAAAAATAGCCAAACTTTTTATTTTTTTTTTTACAAGTGACTATTTAAACAGCACATACATTGGGCATTGATTTAAAAGCATTTTTGCACTCATTAAAATAATATATTTCTCATCAGTTAAGACTGTTTTGGGAACGTACCAAAAGATCTGCCAGTACCCCGCATGAAAAGCCTTTTATAATTAATACAAACTCAGTTTACCCAATTTCAATTAAACTCATCTCTTCTCTGTACAGGTGGTTTTCTATAACAACTAAACACCACAGCAATGTGGGCAGAGTTATCACAAAACAAACTGTTCCAAAGCCAGTGTTGATTGGGGTATAGGTAGAAATAGAAATAAATGTTTTTTAAGAGTAAGAAGTAAGAGTAAGTTCTGGAAACAGAGGAATTTACTTGCTGGCTCGCATGTTGTGACCTCTAAGCGCTTGTTAAATGGAAAGCCAGCAAGCTGAGGAGATTATAAAAACTGCAGCATATTTTACTGTAGTGAAAAAAAAAAACAGTATAGGAGGGTACATGTGGATCTCCAGTAACCTAATAGCTAGAAGAATAAAAAACAGGACATAACATAATCAGTTTAAAGTATATAACCCATTAAAGATGTCTTAAAAACAACCTTCAAGTATCATATGTATTACATGAAAGGACTTGGATTTCAATTTACCAAGTTATTACAGGTACTCAGTTTATGGTAAAAAAAAAAAAAAAAAGAAAGAATTCGAATCTTTGCTAAATATTTGGATGAAAACTTACTAAAAATTATCTTATTTGTTTTATTTTGTTAATTCTTATAAAAAAAAGAAGAAGAATTGACATGCAGGGCCATGTTCTTCCACATTCGTTCTGTAGGATCACCTTCCTGCAGGTTTGATGTTGCTATGCTTCAAAATGTGTTTCAAATAGCTTTATAGTATTGTTTTAGAGAGGTCTGCTGATAACTTATACATTCAGTTCAGGGATGTCAACACATGGAAACATCTGTAGGTCAAAATAGAACAGCTGAAAATGAGTGCAGTAATATATTTACTCTTTAATTAAGAATAAGATACGTTTTACTGTTTCTTGTAATTAAAAAAAAAACCAAAAAGGACTTCAACAGATCAGTTCAAGGGAGCAAAGTGCAATGTTATGTAATTTACAACATGTCCTTAATGGAACACATCCACAAGATGAAAAAAGGTAAGATGAAAAAAATAAGGGCAGGTATGTTCGATGTTATATCATTTCTAGAGAGCTTCATTTAACTGTATGCATACTGTGACGCTGCGAACTGATGGCTAAAGGGTTTTTGCTGTTCGATTCAACACAAACCTTTGTTTGACCCGAGTGGTAGAACCATAAATATGCTTTTGGTTTCTTCAATACACTGCTGTAACCTTGAGTAAAAAATGTTACATATACATTTCAAAGGTTTATTACTTTTCTGGGAGAAAATAAAACTAGGCTTAATTGCAATTAAGAGCATTTGATTTTGAAACAATTTGTTTCGGAGGGTCATTTCAAATCCTTTGTGCCAAATATGACAGTTTTAAGAAAACTTTTTTTTAATAGCAATCACCAGCTGGATTGTCTCAAAGAAAGCAGAAATCTTGTAAAAATGTTTCTAATAAATAAGGAAATTAAATGAAATGGTTAAACTTTGCTCAGTTAGATGCAATCAAAGTAATCATTTCATACAGTTTGAAATCTATTTTCCAGAGGCATGTTAAACCAAAAACCAATATAAAGTGTGGAAAGAAGGGGCAAAAAGAAAAAGAAAAGTTCTACTTACTACTTTCTCTTTAGAGCGCAGGACACCAAGCTTGCCAAAGCGCACGTGGAACGGTGAACACTGGTAGGTTCCATCTCTCTGGCGGACAACCACAACGTCAATACAGCCTGAAAGCGTGGCCTGATTGATGCCCTTATACAGCTCTTTGACTGTTACGAGAACTTGACCAGCCAGCTGCCCGACGTAATTCATGGTGTGTGTCTGGAAGAAAAAAAAAAAACACTTTTAGTCTTATTTAAAGTCAAACCTTTTCAAAATATAAAACAATGCAGTATTGTCAGAGCCATCGCTCTTTAGGGAGCTAACAATGAATTTTGCTCTCAGACCTTAGGACCCCCATCTACAGTTTTATCTCAGAACTGGCATACAGACTGACAGCGAGCATTGTTATCCTATCTCTGGCTATTGTCCAACACGAACAACATCGGAGAGCAGCAAATGCCTGGACCAAAACAATGAGATAACCTAAACAGAGATCCCACAGCTCTGCAAAAAATGGAAGCAGCTGACATTGTGTTTATAGCCATAACTCTTACTTACATAAGGGCACTTTAGATATACTGCTGTGCTAGTGTGCAAAAGACAAACTTAGTCAAACTATTTTCAAAACAACATTGACCCTCAGAAACATTTTTAATGGAAATAGGTTTTTCTTTCCTGTCTTCTAAAATGACCCAATCTAAGAAAATAGCATGCAGGCCAAGGCTAGCACAAACTGCCCTGTATTCTGGTGGCCTATTTACTGAATTTGATAAAGTCCTTGGTACCATGTCACCAACTGTGTGTGTATGTGTAACTACAAATAAACATGATTTCAGTTTGTTGGGTCAGGGTCTAATTTGGTAAAGACGGTAAACAATTCCCCCTGTTGATTTCATCATGTTTATATGACCTGAAATTTTCCTACACCACAGTAACCTTTTGTTCATAATCTCACCATGGCAGGGGAGTCAGGAGGAGGGCAATATGGGCAATTTTGCAATGGTAGTCCCAGTGGAGTAAGGAGATAATTTATGTACTTAAAGGTTAATGAAAAATAACTCATCCATCACAAATTTATCCACAACCAAACAGCATTTTCATTTATGTAAATACAAGTTAAAATGCTCAAATGTGGGCCTGGTTCTAGATTAAAAAAATAGGCTTCTAGTATATAATGCATAATTATATATTTTAATATCCAAAAAAAATATAGGGATATAGATAATTCAAGAAAGCCTATCCAATAAGAGAACTCTGATGTTTTCCACCAAAGACTTTTACATTTTAGCATACAAATCGATCCTCTAAATCATTCAATGCGAATCCAAAGATTATGCTTGTAACACATTTTCCGCTGACCAGAAATGCTGTTTTTGTTACATATTATGTGAATGCAATCAAATTATAGAAGCAGTGTTAAGACTTTTACTGACCAGCACTTAATTCTAGTTTCCTTTTTGGACTGACCCTCTGATTATGATTTCCCAAATCTAGACTTCTATGATTATTCTTAACAATTATAAACAACAAACATTGACCACACAAGAAAAAAAAGAGCAACTGGTTCCAGATAGCAGTAGCAAATTAGAAATCTGTAAAGAATTACACAAACATTTCAATTAGTGCATCAAAAAGGTATATCCTAAAATGTTATTGGGCATTTACTGGATTAAAAAAGCAGTTTGTCATATAGCAGCACATTTGTTATATAATCTGAACAAATAGAAGATAAGTAGATTCAAATAATTTGATACATTCATTTTAATCAGCAGGTCAATCAGGTGCTGCATATTTTGTCATAAGTGTGACTAAAGTTCAAACTATTTGCCAGTTGAGTAAGATATTACTTTCAATATAAGGTTAAACTAAGGCAGAAATACATTTTATAAATACTGGACACATAATGGGTCTGTTGTGTAAGAAATCCTACAAACACAATAGAGTAGTTTTGATACTTAAGGCGATGATCAAGATAGGGCTGCAATTAACAAAAATTTTGCAAATAGATTAATCTGTTAAATATTTTTTCAATTACTTGATTAATAATCAAATAGCCAAATGTTTCTTACAGAAGATTTTTACAGCATCAAACCAGGTGAAACCAAAACTTTTCCACTTGCAGAGTTCTGGATACAGCATATTGACAGACAAAAAAGTTGTTTCTTTTTTTTTTAAATCTTAAATGCAAAACATTTATATGTATATATATATTAGGGGTGGAACGATTCACAAAATCCACGGTTCGGTTCGATTCACGGTTTCTGGTCACGGTTTTCGGTTCGGTTCGATACATGTTGATTGTTACACCGAAATCCCATAAAAATTTATGGAATTAATGAAAAAATCCCCCCAAAAATAATGGATTGTAATTATTTTAAATGATCTGTGAAAACCCTGGATTATTTCTGTATGTTTTGCTGCTTTGAATTTCATCATCT